GAATTTCTAAATATGTGTAAAATGTGAACAAAAGTTACAAAATATTAATGCACACAGAATAAAGAGTCGCAATTATCAATATGAATAGAAATAAATAAGAGGAAATGATAATTAATATGAAATTTGAGACGAGTCAAAAGCAATTTGCGAGGTAGATTTTCATCCCTAACAAAATTGTAATAAATTCTTAATAAATTTATGAATTATTTTGAGGATTTGTAATGAATCTGATTCTGTATCAATTTCTCATTTTGTGCAATATCCTTCAACCCCTAGCAATGCATCCCTATGATTTTTTATTAGTAAGATACATGTGTAGGATATTATCCACTATCAATTGCGATTTAAAAGCCCTTCAAATGCCAAAAAAATATAAAGCATTAATCTCAAAAAATCTAAATTAAAATGTCTTCCATAGCAAGGAAATTGCGTTGATAGGGAATGGAAGTACACAACAAAAGGGATGACGATGCAAAAGAGATCCGAGGATGATTAAAAGAGCTCGAATGAAATTAAATTATTTTAATTTTCGAGGGTTTCTCTTTTTTGTATGTTTTCATCATATCAATGTGCGTAGTTATATAAACAAGGAATTTAATCAAATCATGTGCTGTTGAGTATTTTTCAAGGCGGCTGTTGTGTTTCAAATAGGGAATGTCAAGAGCAAAGAGAATTTTTTTTATATGATGGAAAAATTGATTGAAATACAAAGTTTGACACTCGAAGATGTGGAGAAATAGGAAAAGAAGTAATAAGATTGAGGAAAAGTTTGTCATCAAGTGGATTAAGAGGGTTGAGGTTTTGGATGAATGTCTTTTAAATTACGATAAATGAAACTATGAATGAAAAAAAAAAGTTTAAATTTTTCAAAAAATCAGATGAAAAGTTGTAAGAAGTAAGAAACTCTTAATTGAAAAAATAACCGTTATTTTTATTTTGAAATTTTTTTTATTACAACTTAGCCAAAAACCATTTGTTTTCTTGAAATAGAGTCATTAAGTTCTTTTAAAACATTCAAAATAGATCAAGTAAATTCTAATAAACACAAGAACCATTTAAATCCACAGATATTTGCTTCTAAAGCTGTAAAATTCAACTTTTTAAAAATGGATTGTGTCTTTGCTTAAAAGTCAAAAAAGTCGTTAAAAATTTAAATTTAAAATTGTTTAAAATATGAATCAACTTGAATCAACAAAATATCCAGCCAAAATATCCAATTTATTGCTAGTAAAACTCCAAAGAATATTTAATCATCGTATAATTCTCAGAACTTTAAGACTATAATTATTAAATATGAAATAAAATCCACTTTAACCAAGGAAATTCCATTTTGAAATCTCAATCAACATCGTACATCCATGCAAACAGCCATTGGAAAAAGAAGAAAATCTTGCCGATGATTAACTTTACTCTACGTAGTGTTAAATTAGACACAGAAAGTATTTTTCCATAAATATTTAAATTTCAAGCAGCATCAAAACTTCCACAACTCCCGTCCCCCCAATTTTCTCTCGAACGAACAGCACAGCATCATTATTATACAAAACATTCCACCCTTTTTATTCAACCTCCCAACATTCTCCATATTATATTTCTGCTGTTGTTGCCAGCCATCACATCTTTCTCCTCATCATCTTCTTGTTCCATGTAATTTATTTTTTTTTCTGCTGTGCTCATTTTTTTCACAGCTTGAAGCAAGAAAAAAAAACTCTTATTTTATTCACTGCTTGTTTCCATTTCCAACAACTTTTTCATGTTTCTCATGTTTCATGAAAAAAAAAGACGTCGTCTTTCGGTTGAGATGTGGAGATGAGAGTGAAGGAAAATGTAATAATAATAATAATTTTCTTTCTTTCCAGCAATGTTGTATGAAAAAAAAAAATCTCGGAAAATCTGGTGGAAGTGCTAGAAATGAAGTTGATAGAGCGCATTTTGAATAGGTTTTAGTGTTGACTTTGAAGGTTTTCAGACTATTTAAGTTTCTTTATTAGCTCAGTTGAAATGGTGCAGTTGACAGAAGTTGGTATTCATGTTATTAAACTCCCAGGTTCGAATCTCATTTTCAATTTCAGATTTTTTCTTAAGTATAAATACTTTGTTTTCCTAAGGACAGCTCTTTAATGACTAATGTGAATGTTAAAACATCAAAATAACCTGGAAATGCCTTGATTGCACATAGATAAGCTCAGATATCTCAGATAATATTTAAAACAACTGAGAACACACTCTTTACCATCACGCACGACATTAAGCTTAAAATCAATGAACATTTTAATCTACACAATGCGTTGGGGATCATTCTTGTGTCCTAATCCAATAGTGCTTACAATTGAAAAACGTTTGTAGATCAAATCGACAAGCTTTAATTCCAAAAGAACGAATTAAGGTTGTTCCAACATTGGCTAAACTACAAAACGTGTACACGCATCATTTCAAGCATCACACTAAGAGATTATAGTTTAGAGCAGTTGAAAGCTGATTCAAATCTAACTGAATCTCTGTTTGTGCTGGACGTGGAATTGTGGAATTCATCCAGTTTTTTTTTTCATCTGCAGATGTGTTCAATTTGCAGAACAGATAACCTGCGGCTAGACAAACGTTCTTTTTGCTTTAGAATGAAGGACTATTTAAGGCTGATTAATCCTCATGCTCTATGTACAAGGAGGGAGTTTGAGCCAAGAGATTATTAAAGTCGGATGTTTGATCGAGGTCCGGGTACCAACATAATTTTTGGCGGGAAAATCTATTTTTTTAAGAAATTATAAATCCAGCTAGCTTTTGAGGCTCCTAATCTATTCTCAACAAACTTCATTATTCATTTAATTCAAATAATCGAAAAATTCAATATCCAGTCAAAGAAAATCTGAAGATTCCAATCACATTTTCATCACAAAACCTGCTTTCAAAAAATTCATCTCCTCTTTTTCTTCCTTTCACAAAACAACAACAGCAGCAGCAACAACAACGAAGATGAAGATGAAATGTGGATGACGACGGTGAAAGGAAGAAGAAGAAGTTAAAAAATCCCCTTCGGTGAGGTAAAAAAAGGAGAAAGAAAGAAAATCACAGCACATAATATCATGCTTAACTGAATTTTCATTTAATGTAATGGCATAAAAGTCCATAAAATGTCAGCATGTGTACAAAATGTTATCGTGAATCTCTTTTACACAAAAAAAATTTTCCCTTCTATCAACTTGTATCCGTTGCTTTGGAAACGCCACCACTTTCGGTGTTAAGCTTCGCCATATTTATATTTGCGAGTAGGGTGTTGAACATAGGCAGGGAGGGTGTTTGTGTATGTTCATGACGATGATGATGCTGATGCTGTAGATGTGGAAAAAAAAGGAAGATGGAAAAAATGTATTGTAAATGGTTGGAAAATGTGTATGTGGCATAATTTTCTCTATTTTTTCATTCTATTGCTTTTCCGAATGTATGTGTGCTTTTGATATTATCATCCTATCTAGATAGATATTTTGTAATAGGGCAATTTTTATTCATGAAAAGGTTTCATTCTTTCTGGGGTGATTTCTGAGGGATTCGTTTGGATATAATGTCAATGCTTCTTTTTGCAGGCTTGAAAAATCGTCTAAAGGCGCAATGTTTGTTCCAGGGTTTGTTCACGAACTTTTGTTCTTACTGTTTTCTTCTGTTTTCTTACAATAAAATCGTTAGATGTCATAGGCCCCTTTTCACTTATTACGTTACGCAAAAAAACGATTTTTTTCACCCCCCCCCCCCCCCTGAACGTTCATAATTTATTTTATTTTGATAATTTTTTATTCTAAAAAGACGTTTAAATTTCTTTTGTATTTTTTTTCTTAAACATCAAAATGCTGTCCAGCTAAATAGGTCATGATTTGATTGATACTATTAGTATTCTCATGAATTGTTGGATTGAGATATAAAGCAAAAATTTGTTTTTGGTGTGAATTTGTAAACAAATTTTTTTCGTGAACTTTTTTTTAAAGTCATACTTCTTGACACCCCCCCCCCCCCCTATGATACATTTGGTTACAATTTTTCAAACCACCCCTCCCCCTAAAATGCGAACGTAATAAGTGAACGGCCCCATATGAAGCTACAAGCCCATCAAACATCTTTCACACCAAATTCCGTTAAAACTTCAATATTATAAAATTTTAAAGTCAAAACTTAGTTCCATAACATTCAAATAACCCCTCAAATGATTCCTGCATCTTCTTTTTCCCTTTTTTTCGTACTCGACAGATGATTATGCTTCATGATAGATAAGATGCTTTTTAAAGGAAATAAGAGGAAAGCGAGAAAGAGGATAACGCGTATCATGAATACTCGAGAGACTTCTTACGGTTAAATTAAATATTTCATCACAATAGATAGCGTCTGTACATATCACCCATTCATTCGAAGCATTAGGCTGCTTGAGGATGTACATAATTGTGTATTTTTGTGGGGTGAAATATTGAATCTTCTTGGAATGGGATGGGATGGGATGAAATCAAAGTTGGTTCAGTGATTTTTCACTGTGGAAACTCAATATTGATTTTTCATGAGAATATTCGCACTTTAAAGTTTGTTGTTTCGTACCTTACACCTTAATAACTTTCAATTGCTGTTTTAAAGTTCTCATTCCAATTAATTAAAGTTGGGAAGGTCTCGTGTTGCTTTAAGAAATATTTAAATTTCAAGGAACTTAACTCTAGGCAAATTAATTAGATACTCAAGTAGCTTCTGAGAATGTCAAACGCCAAATATTAAAAAGAACATAAAAAGCTTTTATTGGAAGCAATTATTCAGGTTTATGGCTTTAAGGCTTTAACATCTTAAAGTTTCTGGGAATAAAGAGGGAATATTTGAAAACAGTACTTTTGAAAGTTCCACGTGCCAGACAAAACACAAACTTTTTTGAAATACTATCTAGTTGATCATTTATCTGTTCAAAATTGTTTTAACATTCATTTAATTAAATTAAGTTATATTCGCCCGTTATTGAAAAATTCAAATTTTGTTTTGTCGCATATACTGAGAGGATAAAATCCTCAAAACGTAAACAGAAAAAAAAACAAATTAATTATTTTGATTTCCTGCATTATTTTGCTATCAAACGAATCTAATTTTGCAGTAGCTTCAAAGAATCACCTCAAATCTGCCAAATTGTACTAATCCATTCCACAAATCCATCAAATTCTCAAAAATATTCTTATCTGAAGAAAAATCACTTTAATTAACTGAAATAATGTGGTATCACAAAAAGAAGCGGTTCCTCGATGGAATCAGCAAGTGCCTCAAGCTGTCAGATAAAGAATTCGAAGTGACATTAAAGAAAGTCAATGAAATAACAAAAGATTCTGATGATTTATCAGCCATTCTGGATCTTGAAATTAAAAATCCAGAAGTAATAAAAGAGGAACGAGATTTGATCCTTAAGACTATATTTTATCTCGTCCAGAGATTCAATCTTTTCATTCTATCGCCAATTAAGTTACAGAGTGATTTAAATGATCTAGGATTCTCACAAGAAAAGGCACATATATTGATTCAGTTCTATTCTGAAGCTTCTCGTGCCATGATAACAAACTTAGATATGAGCAGCACTGGTTCAACAGATGAGGAAGTATATTGGGATATAAAAACGACATTATCAGATGCACTGAATCAAAAATGCAAGATCCCAAAAGCTACAATAAGACTAAAATCAGAAGCACAGGAAATTACATTTGAGGACCTAAACCATTCAGAACTTAGTAAACTGTTTGACAAGATGGAAGCTATTCAAAGCGAATTAGATAATCTGAACAAATAAAATATTTATAATTAAGCATTTATTCCATATAAAAGCATTTAAATTTTAATGACAGTGGCATTCATTGCATTTTCTGTTGGCTGTAATTTTGTGGCTGTTAAGTCAACCAAATCTGTTTGATTTTCATAAGCTATTTCAGCAGCATTAATTATCATATCTAGGGATCCACTTAACTTTAAGAACTCTAATGTCATCTCCTCTTCGACCTTAATTCGTCGATTTAGTTCCACAATAAGTCGCTGGATGTTTGGTGATAGTGTTGTGAATTGTGGCTCATAGACATTAAGGAATATATCTATAGCATCTATGAGAATTCTTGTGAATCTGCCATCACCAATGTATCTATTGAAGAATGTGATGATTTTGGCTAATGAATCTTGCTGTCTATTGACAAGTGCCTGCTTGAGTCCATTACGTCTAATTAATTCCTGAATAATAGCAACAGTCACTTCTGGTGTTCTATTTACACAATATCGGCTCATGACTTGATCTAAAGCCTTTGCATACTCGAAAGCCCTTAAACTGTTGTCATAGCTTTTTGATTCCTTCTTTTCAGGCTTTGGAATAAATTCATCGACCATAAGATTTCTCCGCTTTCGTTTTTTTTCACGTTTCTGATCTGCTTTTTGTTCCTCAAACTTTTCTTCACGTCTATGAATTGCCAATGTTCCATCCACTTGACCAACAGCTAGTGTATTTCCATCTCTAGAGACTCCAACACTTAGGACTGAATTTGTGTAATTAAGATTGTGAATCATTTGATAATTTGCTGTATTAAAGAATTTGACATGACGATCCAAACTGCCTGATATTAAATGCCGTCCATCAGCTGACATTGTAAGACAAGTCACAGTTTTTGTGTGCTGTGAAATGTTGCCTAAATGACGTCCTCCATTTACAGCATCCCAAAACTTGATGTCAGTTCCACCAGCACTGATGAATATGCCACCAGATGGAATGAACAAGACTGATTCAACTGGACTTCCATGATTTACAGACAAGACACAACTATGAGATCTTGTATCGTACATCTTCACGAAATGATCATATCCACCACTTAAAATTGTATGTGGACTAATAGGATTTGTTGCTCCAGCACGAACATAATCAGTATGTCCTCTAAATGTTGTTGTAAACTTTTCAGTAGCAACATCCCACAACTTGACTGTCTTATCATCAGAGAAGCTGGCTATATGATGTAGATCCGACATGAAATATGTCCTATGGACAGGAGCTTTATGTCCAGAAAATAATCTGAGCATGGTTTTTGTGTTTGTATCAAATAATCTGATTTTTCCTTCTTCATCTCCAGCAACAATCAACCTTCCATCCTTTCTGTATGTAGCACCAAATGCTTCCTTTTGAAATGTTGAAATATTCTTCAATACTAGCTTTGTGAGTGGATTATAGATCTGTACGCGAAGTGAACATGTTGCTGCAAAGTTGAATGGCTGAATTGGACTAAAATCAATGTAATTAATCGATCCATATTCCTTAATAAACACTGGATTCTAAAAGAAAAACAAAACTTATTAATAAAAGTGGATTTTAATGGTAATTTAATACTTACTCCAAGTTGTTTCCAATATTTGCACTCTTCTGACGTCACTACTGATCCTTTTGTGAAGTTCTGGATAGGCGTTTTCTTGAAATTATTCATATTTCCAGCTTTTTAAATAATTAAACTAAATGTCAACAAATAAATGTGTTTACTGGGGATCCTTGGTTTAAATAGCTGCGGCAATATCGGAAATTTATAAAATTGGAGTTTTTTCCCCTCATAGAAGAAGTTTGAATTTGAAAAAGCCGTTTTGGTAAGTGTCTCCTTACTGCCAAGACTCACACGAGCTTGGATCTGAGAGGTATTATGGATGATCCATTCTCGTAAGGCTCTGATTCTCATTTTCTATTGAAAGTTTTATTCAACAAAACAATTAAGAAGGAATCGACTGAAAATAAAAGAAGCTAAAAGTACAATGATTCAGAATCGAAAAAAATGTTCAAAAATTAAAAAATTTCATGTTAATTAAACTATGTCCTTTAAATGCCAGATTAAAGATCTTAACTTGAGGCATATCCTATGAAAATATCTCGTCCTAATTTGATGTCTAACTCCAGAAATCATTAATTTAATCTCACCCAAAATTTGTTTACAATTTGTGTATGAAAAAAAAAATATGATTTTTTCTACTTTAAGTTGTTATTTGGATGTCTTGGAAGCAGTTGCTAGCTAATTTAAGCTTTGCTTTACATATTAAAATAACCAACTCAATAAAAATCTGCTTATTAAGCCTTAAAAATGGAATTGAAATCTGAGTATTTTTACACAACTTAAACTATTCATAAGTTAAAAAGTCTTCCAAAGACCTCTCTGAAACCTATATAAATCCATTAATTAAGTTTAAATCTATCTCCCATATTACTGGGGACATGCCGTTTGATGCCGTTTACGAGATATTTGCGATCAAAGTTTACATAAATTTTCATACAAAATTTGATCATGCACAATATTTTTTGATAAACTTTTACAAACTTTTGGTAAAAAATCATGTCTTTCCTTTATATTAAGGACTGATTTTTTGAGCAAAGAACGAAAACATTATCTAGAAGATGCTAAAAGAATCAAATCAAGAGAAATTAACAAAAACTTCCAATTTTCTAATGTGTTGGAAAAATATTGTGCACAAGGAATTTTTGAACATTTTTTCCGAATCTGAATCATTGTGATATGGTCGTAAAAATGTGAGTTCGTAAAAATGAAGTTTCGAAATTTTAAAATTCGTTATTTTAATAGGCACTCCAAAAAATATTGAGCATGATCAAATTTTGTATGAAAATTTATGTAGACTTTGAACGCAAATATCTCGAAAACGGCATGTCCTCAGTAATACGGGGGATAGATTTGAGCTTAATTAATTGATTTATATAGGTTTCAGAGAGGTCTTTGGAAGACTTTTTAACTTTTGAATAGTTTAAGTTTTGTAAAAATACTCAGATTTTAATTGCATTTTTAAGACTTAATCAGCAGTTTTCTTTTGATTTGGTAGTTTTAATATGCAGATCTAAACTTAATTTAGCTAACAGCAGCTAGCAAGATAAGGAAATAATAACTTAAAGTAGAGAAAATCGAAGTTTTTTTTTCATATACAAAATGTAAACAAATTTTTGTTGAAAATAAATTAAAGATTTCTGGAGTTAGACATCAAATTGAAACGAGATATTTTCACTGAATATGCCTTAAGTTAAGATCTTTAATCTGACATTTAAAAGATGTAGTTTAATTAATATGTTATTTTTGAACATTTTTTCCGAATCTGAATCATTGTGAAAAGTAGGAAAGAAACAAAAAAGGACTTTTCTTTTAGAATTAATAATCACATATATTTAAATTTTCTTGTTTTATTTTCATCATACATTACATGTTTTTTTTTCTCAATCCTCAATCCTACGAAATGTACAATTAGTTGTTGATTTCTTATATTTTCAATGAATTTCTAGTGAATCAATTGTAGTTTTTTCTTCTAATTTTTTTATTTTTTTTTTCATCTTTATTTAATGTAAAGTAAGTGTTGTGTATTTGTTTTTCATCCATTTTCTTCCTTTATTTTAATGACATTTCCATTATGAATTGAATTTATTCTTAGTTAAATTTCACCGGAAAATGAATTAGAGAAATCATGAACTTCTATAATATTCCATTTCTGTATCTTTTTTTGAGTTTAATCTAATATTTTCTTCGGGTTTATTCCGCAAATTTTTTTTTTAAATCGACAATCAAAGTATTTGTGTCCATCATTTAGATTCAGTGTTGCAAATGTCGATGTCTACACTAGAGGTAGAATTTAGATTCTACAATAGATTCTGTCTTTAAATTGAAGCTTTCTCTTTGTAGAATTGTCTACACAAAGATGGAAAAAAACAATCTAGATTACAGATTGATCTTCATTTTCATGTAGACAGATTCTACAAAAGAAAGCATCTCTGTCAGATTTCAACTAATGCAGACAACTTGCTAGAATGCAACACTGATTTAGAACATTCAAATGTTTTTTTTATATAATCAATTTTTTTTAAATTTTTTCTTCATGGGTTGTGTATGTTATCCTTATAATTTCTTATTTAGAGAAATCATAACTCTCACTATGAATTTTTTCTTTTTTCTTCATCAGAATTATACATTATCATATATTTAAATACTTTTTTTTTATCATTTTAAACTAATAATATATATGATTTATAATCTTTTTTTATTATTATTTTTCTTCTCCCTTTTTAATTATAATTAAGTTTTTCATCATTAATATTAATATTCTTGTTTTGGGTCGCCATTGAGAAACGAGTATGCGTAACTACATTGCTAATTAAGAACATGTTTTTCTAGCTGTTTCCTTTATTTTTTGTGTATACGGCACTCAATAAAGTGAAAACTTTGAAGCCTTAAAATAAGAAGAAGGATTTAAGAAGTTCAAAGCATCCACAACTAGTAACCGAGAAGGTCAATAACGACACGCTGGAATTAAAATCGGAAAATTATGCACGAAAATTTTCAGTCATTTAACTTTTTAAGTTGCGTGAAGTCATTGACAAATTATTAAAGTATTTTTTATTTCTTTTGGAAACCGGAATGAAGATGAATGTAGTTACGAATGAGCCCCTACCCGCTATAGCCCAATGACGATAATAAAAATCGTTGCAATTGCTCATTCCGGTGCATTACAACAATTTTTTTAAAATTTAATTAAATTTATTTTACAATTTTTTTTTCTTTCTTTTATTAAAAATTGCGAAACTAAGGAAGAAAATTGAAGGTTTGCGAAGGAAAAAGATCTGATTTTGAGGTTATTGCTGTTTTTTAGCTGGAAGAGTGCCCAGGAAATGAACAGCAATAGCTTTATCTTGCATTGCATCGCTGGATGTTTAGCTGTTGGCTGTCTATACTTTGTGGAAAGTTTCTATGGATTTTTAACCTCCAAAATATTTTAAAATGTAAATAATTTCAATAAATCATAAAGAATATTGGAAGTTTTAATAAAATTCATAGCTAAAATGCCACAAAAAGGAGTCAATTCATCAGTAAACCTTCAGTATGCAACACACTGACCTTTATCCTTTAATAAAGTTAACATAAAGTTCCTTTACACTCCTAACTCAAGATATAACCTAAACAAATTATAATAATCTCATAAATTAACCAAAAATCTCGTCAAACTCAAAATTTCTAGAAAACTTTTAGTTTCCACTTCCTTTAATCAATGACAATTAATGCTAAAGTTCATTTTTTAAAAAATGACATTTTGGAAAAATGTTTTTCTCATTTTTTTTTTCTTCTGTGATTTCAATCTTTAATTTGTCACAAAATAGACTAAGGTGGAGAATGTTATGTACCATATTCATCACCTCCTGACTAAATTGAATCAGGAGGACTTTTTTAGGTTATGTTTTTGCGCGGCATTTCATTTAAAGTTTAAGTAATTTAATTAATTGTTCAGCATGAAGCTACCGATTTAGAATTTAGTACAAACATTCTCACATCCTCAATCGTTCACTTTAAACTTTATATCTTTCACTTTATAGGTTCTTAGATTAATATGAATTTTTTATGCTTCTTCATGTGTCTAGATTTAATAAATTTGGTTTTTTTACTTCCTTGAAATTTCAAGTAGAATTGTGGAAATGAAAAAATAAAAAGTTTAATTAAATCAGTTTTTTTTTGTTCATTTGCATTCATTGTAGTTAATGATTTGAGGTAATAACAATAAATTCATAAAGTGTTCCTTTATATATGGCTTTCACGTTTCAAATTATTTTTTTGTATGCTTTGAAAGGATTCATTTTTTGGTTTTTGTTTAGTTAAAAAAGTAATAAAAAATATTTTCTTGCTTAGTAAATGTCCATTTTTCTTCATAATCATCATTTGAGGGCGTGTTTGTGAGTGTATCTTGTGAATATATATAATTTTTTTGTAATATGGCAATAAATAGTTTTTCTTTTCTTATTTTTTCATTATGGATGTGCAAATGAACTATTGGTCTTTTCATTAATATATTTCTTTTTTGTAAGAGTTTTTTTTTTTTGGGTTTTTTAAAGTTTTTTGAAATTAAACAATCATTTTCAATTTGAATTTGTAACGGATTTTGAAGATTTGAAATGTTTCTTTTTATAAAACAATTCAAAATTTCAAAAGAACTTTTAAATTTCAAAATTGAAAAAATCGTTTAACTTTTCAAAAACTTCTCCAATTCCCAATCAAACTTATCAATCACTAATTGTATTTCATGATTTTCATATTTTGTTTCTTTTTCTTCTAAAGATATTAAGTTTTATATATCTCGCAATTTGTTTGTTCATTAAACTTACAATAACAACATAAATGGATAAATAACAAATCGAATCAACAGATGAAAGTTTTCACAGATTTTTTTATATTCACACCGTATTTACTTGTGAATGTATTGGCTGAAATTTCTATTGGTTTTTTCTCCCTTCCCTTCCTGGACGTCTTAAGTGAACGACTTAGGTTTGTGCCTGAAATTTTACATCTTCTGCAAAACACAGATTTAAAATTGGTTGCGACATTGCTGAGAATATCGCAAAATGCGCTTTCTGTAAGCAAGCAAGATAAGATAATCATCAAGAAATCTCAATGACAAGACATTGTAGAGACTTCTAGATTTTGTGTTAAATTCGTGCTGCTATAGAGAAGAACTGTATTGTTTTTCGGCAAGGAAGGAACTG